AAAATGTTAACTTTTTCAGTTTGTGACGTTCTAGCAAGTCACATAAATATATCTAAAATATTTTATATAAAGTAAGACTTCAAATATTTATTAATAATGAGGAAATGAGAAAGCGCGTAATAATCATGCCGCAGGATACTCACCTCAATGTTTTGGCAAACCACGTTTTTTACCACAGATGGAAAAAGACCGGACGCATCGCGGCCCTTTGCAATCATTCCTACAAAACAGGAAATATGTATAAGAAAAACGACATAGCCCACTAATCACTTAGCTGAACCTTTTTCTTTTTTAAAACTTACGTTTTACTATAAATACCCCGCAGGCACTTTCGTAAGGACATCTGTGATCCGATGGATGTATGGAATTACTAAAACAGTTACCAAAAATTATTTCCATCAAACGTAATTACCAGATGATTGATCTTGCCGTCAACGTGATACTTTAGTTTTATGTACCTAGTGTGATAATATAGAGTTTGTCTTATATCACTTAATAATAATTGCCTTTAATAAAATAAATGATCTTCAAATGTCGGAGTATATGCCCACCCAACCTTATCTTTCAATGTGTGCTGAGTCATAGGAAGTGGGGACACACAAAAGTTGCGTTTATTCCATAGACATGTATAGTTAATCCAGGAATCCTCACCTTCCTACGAATGAAATCCTGTACTTTTTATCTGTTTAAGCATGCGAAAGTTCACTTAGCATCAGTTCCAAACTCTGTTTTGCGCTTCTTGTTTAGTCTGCTATTCCTACCCGGAAAAACCGCTGGTATCTATTTAGCTTACTCTCCTTCTGTTTTTGCCAAGCGTCCTGACATAGCCTTCCAGTTTAAGGACACCTACCGATTATCCGTTTCATAGCTTCAAGCTTAAGGCCATCCTTGTTCGAGTCGAGCATATTTTTAAGATCGTCATGCTTCCGGGCATCGCTCGAAAAGAAACTGCTGCCTGCAGCCGAAGCAAATTCTGCCTCAATGGCCGAAGAAGATGATCCCCCAGAGCCGCCCCCTCCGCCGCTCCCACCGCCACGATCCGAATAGACGCCATTTGAGGCTGACGCAGACGTCGAGGCAGCCATGAACAGTAGTGCAGGGGATAACTAGAAGCAATAACAAAACAATGACAATGAAGAACACAATTCAGTTTTATTGTGATTCTTAAATTTGCACATTTATTTCGTTTAACAATATGACAACTGTTTTGCGTGTACTAAATAAAGACGTCATTACGCCATGCTAATTCCATGATGAACTTTTGAAATTCAAAGTAAGACTATTTAATTGAAAAAAATTGTCAATAAGCTCGGAGTTGATTTTCTCCACTCGTATAAACATAGTTAATTCTCTTAATTATTCTATAATTATGTTCCACCGGGACATTAGAGAATAAGATGATCCCTGATTGAGAACTCGATTTTCGTTAGCAGTTGTCACCTAAGAGATGAACATGCGAAGAACAGCATCGCTTAACCACGCTTGGCTGCCTAACGTAAGAACCCGAAAGTAATTCTGCACCGCAAATATTGTTGCAATAGGTGCTTAACTTATTCTCTGTAACTAGATACTAGTTTAAATCCAATAAGAATATATTTATTAATCGTTTTTAACAATAGGTATTTTATTTGCCCTTCAGCAATTGTGCTTTTTACACATTCATTATTTTACATTAACTTTTTATCTCGATTAGCGAAATTTGAAGCAATTCCTAGATTTTTAAACAGCTCAGGCCATGCCATCGCATGGCAGTATTATACCAACAGGGTAACACAATCTATTGGTTTACCTTTATCATAAATGTTTTACAAAAAACTAAGTTCATCTATTCACATAGCTTGTAAGTTATGTGCATTGCTTGCAGGACTTGAACCAGGAACCCCTGATTACTTTCAATCATAAGATGTTTTACAATAAATGATTTCTTGTAATAGAAGCCTGTAGTAAATTATCAGTAAACTCTTAGCCACTTGCAAGTTGCCGGCCAGATTCTTCCTAGTAACAATTGTGGATCGAAATCTATCTTAGGTCAGCTCAGTATTACTAACAATCAACGTACGGCAGGAAGTAGCTTATTGCGTTGCTGTGTTTTAAGCCTTAATCTAGCTAGAATTTGGATTTTATATATACACATGACAGGTTGAAGTCCTTACAATAAAAACAAGAAATAAGGTCAGGATTAACACGTGCTACATACATTTATCTAATGTAAATTTGTGTATGTATTTTCAGTAAAATTAGATTTAAAATTCATTTGTTTCATTTGATAAAAGTAAGATTTTTATTACGAGATAGTGGACAGTACTGTACTGAGTGTAGTTCGAAAGATTGATCTAAGGTATATATTGGGATGTATTTGAAATGAACAAACTAAAAGTCCACTTAAGTAAGCTAGAAGATGAACGAAAAATATAAATAGGATCATAACCGAAACTTCTATTTGAAAAAAAAATACAATTATCCAGTATTTGCTACGACTCATGCATAGATATCCTTACCCTATATTCAATACACCACGACACCGAAACCATTTTAACGTATCCAGAAAGGATGGCTTCCATCCAATTCAACTATATTAAAATAAATGCCCAAATGATAGCATGCAGTCGTTAATCATTTTATTAAATTTTCGCCACCTATGATTGATTATATCACCAGACTTGTTGTACGCGCAGTCAACGTTGAAGAGGCATGAGTCGATCATCTTCTTTCATTTCTTGTCTTAGACTGACCTAAGTTGTACTAACTACCAAATAAAAGAAAACAAACATGTAAGATTCTGATCGTATTGTATAGGGAGTTAGTCGAATTATTAAACAACAAGCAATGGAAATTTGAAGAAATTTTCTCGCTGCATATAGAGTTCAATTCCACATTTAATTCCAAATCTATTCGCATCGGTTGCTCTTGTCTAAAGTTACAATTCAGTGGTAAGGTTTTTTCACCAAGAATCGGACGGTCACTCTGCGGACGGCAATTCAAGTCTTAAGTTGCGCAACAAGGTCTCGGTGACCAGCCTTGTGAGCAGCCCTAAAGAAATCTGGAGTTCTGGCTTACCCAATCAGACACCCAATCACCAGTCTGATGTTCGGTAGTTGTCCATTTACCAAACGCTGCTTTGAGCATAGCCTTTTCAGGGAGTTGCCTTGAAATCACCGTCGACTAGGCCCTTGATTTGACTTCGAATGAAGTGCATATGGTACGCTAAGCATGGAAAGATGCACTGTAGTAAGTAAACAGATCGACGTACACGCAATTATTTGCAACTCGATTCACTAATTTTGCAATTTGTTCATCTCTTGTATAATAGTTTTCTTTCAAACGAATTCGTTGGGAAATACTGCTTCCGCTAAATGTACTTAATCTAGTAATTAGTCAGGCAATATGCGCAAAGAATATGTGTCATCATCCATCGCGTCCAAATGGAACGTTTACGAGAAATTCGAAAATAACAACTAACCCAGAGCATAAGCTTAGTAAATTTATGCTCTTGCTTTGCTTAGTTTTGTGACAAACCACAGTTACTATTTTTAGCTTTGAAATGTTATTGGTTTAGCGGTACTTCTGGGCTTGAAATTACTAGTGCCCGTAAGCCAATTATTTCAAATAGATAGATTAGGCGTTAAACAATACGAATCTAAGGTGGTACTGTTATATTGAGCAAGGTACCCGATTCATGTACGCACAACCGGCAAATGTGTGTCAAGCAACAGTTGTGGGACTGATCATGCACCTACAGACTCGTCATCGATTTGAGCCTGAGCAAATTTTACATCTCCAACACTGTACAATTATTGTTGCTTGTGAGCAGACGTAAACATATTATCGCATCGCATCGTTGAAAACAAAACATCCACATTTACTAGGCTTATGCTAGATTCTTATCAGTTTTGGAAAGCGGTGAGGCAACTGGAAACCTATTAAAATAATCATTGATCATCGTCATACAGCAAGCATCATCGGTTCCTTCCCCGATACCTTCAAATATCTAAAACTAGTTTATAGCTTTCGTCAAATAAATTCTGACTAGATAAAAATCAAGTATAAGATCGTGTGTATTTACTGTTAACCCGTGATCTCATTCGGACAAACGATATTTACCTATAGTAGCTATAATAATAACTGAACTACCTATCCATCCTTGCAAACTGTCTCCTTCGCCCCAAGCGAAAACTTTTTTGGCAGTTCCGCACGAACATATGACTAGAAGTCGAAGAAGCGTCGGCCTTGAATGAGTTGTCAGCCAAGTTTTTCGCATTCGTTTTCATTTGCTCAGAACTTACATACTACTATTACTAGCTGTCACAGAGAACAGGACGATCGATCGACCGCTCATAGAAGATGGTCGTGCGAATAAACGATAACGTATCAAGTAGACGCCCGCGTCGGTCAGTTTTCAGCTATCTTAGATCAAAAATGTTTTCTTCTCTACGAATCAGTGTACAGATGTTGGAGGCACAGTGACAAGTATGCTGCGAACATGCGGGTCACATATGGTTCTATTGAGTTGCCGTGTTATAAAACTATTGTCAAGGGCGAGTATTTGTTTTTCTTACGGGCATGTAGGGTATGATTGAATGTAATTCTCCTAACACGATGTCCGGGCACTGTTCGTGCAGAAGCAGAGCCTCCATCTGTTCGGCCATCTGCTCGGCCATCTGCTGTTCGGCTTAACATACAGGAACAGTAATCGCTACGAGGTGCTATTTACGTCTTTGATGTTCAGAGTAGAGAGCGTTTGATTTGCACAGTTCCCTGCTACAACTTCCGATCACTCCAGATAACAATTTAACAACGACCTGTGTCACGCATCAGGTGCTCTAGCGTTGTTTTTCTTGGTTTCACAGCGTGACTTGTTCTCTGTCCCTATCGAATCTGCCTGTTTGTACTTTACCTTGGTAAGAATGACTGCAACAGCCAGCCGATACTAAGTAAAATTTGAGACATATACAAAACCAGACTGTACCTGCATTGTGACACATTAGCCACGGTCACTATGTATCACTCTCGTTTTACATATTCCGTTATGTTACACGTACAGCATTATCGACAGGCAAGCCATATGAATTAGTAAATGGAGGGCCAGAGCAGGGGAGGGAAAAGGCAAATGAAGGTTTCTAATTTTGGTATAAGGTTGCCACTGACATGTAGCAGTTAACTCACTTACCTAGGAGACAACGTTGAACCGGCCAGCTGTCTATCACGAGTTGACGACGATCAGATTGACCGCCGAACCCACTTGGCCACCAATGGCGTTTGCCGTCGTAAATATTGGTGCTATTGACGTTGCTTTAGTGGATGTGCTCCTCGCCACGCTCGGACCGAGAGCAGCAGCATGCCGGACGGTGCTTCAGTTTGCACCTCCTGCTCACGCTCCGGCAACGGCTGTTGCTACTGCCGCTGCTGTTGGTGCAGCTGGATTGCCTTCGTCTGCTGGACTGAGAGAACACGCAGTGTCGAGCCAGGCTACGATTGCTGGATTTGCTGCTGCTACAGCTGATCAAGTACGATCGCGGGCAGCGTTGCTGATCAGAATATTTAATTTTTTGTCTTGTTTATGTTCAACTGAATGAATGAGAAAAACTTTAGTAGTCAGCCGTCACCACATGTTAATTGAGCTTTCATTGAGCAAACGAGAATATCATCACCGCCGCCGTCATAGAATCGAGTAAATGGAATAGTAACGAAAGATACACATCCACATACACGAAGGTGTTTCACATTATTTGACAATATACGCTATCACGATTTCATACGACGACAGAGTGCTTGCTCACACAGAGTAGAGGGGCGAGCATCCACATACACGTACATATGGCTACAGGAGAGACCGAGTGCCCCGCACTTACCAAATCGTATACTCCACCTTTAGTTGGCGCTGGGCTGCTAATACTGTCGAAACAAAGCCACTTAAAATTACTGTCTCTCCTGCGAAGACGACGACAAGCGCGGCTGATAACGATACAAATCGCAATTTTCTAATCGGCCAGCCAAACAAATCAACGAACGACAGCAGGGGCCCGTTGTTGACGCTGGTCCGCGGTTACTATTTGAAACAAGTTGCACAAGGAACAGCGACTCCGCCAGCAAAACAGCTGCGTTGCTTGCGCTAGTTATAATTGGCAATAGCAGGACGATGATACGGTCAGCAGCAGCAGTGAGACAGCGCCAAGCGGACAAACTACGATCAGTTCAGCTATTACGGTGAAGATGGAAAACGCTAGTGCTAACACCGAAATTTAACGATGAACGCGGAGATAAAGAGAAAGCAGTTTCAAATATGGTGCATTGGAATAGGAATTCGTCGTAAGGCAAACAGAACGAAAAGGCACGGTAAATACAAGATACTGGAGATTCACGTGAGCCGCGTGAGGAGCAGACGATTTTAGTCGAAATAATTTTGCCATGAGGAAAATCGCCATTTGCGTATTATAAAACTAAGACTTCGATTACGTTAGATAAATATAAAAAAGAGATCCAAGCTAGGCGACTAACAATAATTGCTAATAGTACCATAGTCGAATTATTAACAAGAGGATTCAAAGCGTAAAGCGGTCCGCATTGATTAAATACCATATTAAATGTAATACGATAAAAACATACAGTACTAGGACTAGTAGATTTCAGTGTTTAACATGAGAAATTTGAGATGAATTCTACGATTGTATGTGTGTCTCATTATAGACTCAATAGAGACTTGCAATACTTTATTATAGAAATTAAACTACTCTTCTAGTTAGCTAGGTGTTTTCATATGAAACATGAATATGGCAGGTGACTGAGCCAGATAAAATAATGATTTAATTAATCTTTTTGCAGCCATTATTTGTCGTTTTTACTGTCATGTCTGCCTAAAACTATCGCATCCGGCACTTGTCAGGATGCCCTTACCGCCGCAACTGTTGTGAGTTCCAGCTGGCTCGCGCTATCAGCTGACTCGGTCCGGCCAGCTACATCGAGCGGCAAGCTATCAGATAGAGTCGTGTACGTATTTCTAGGTAAGTTTGTATCGTTACTACTGCTGCTGTTGTTGATCCGCGATCGTTGTGATGGCGCTGTCTAGCGGTCGTCAATTCTAGACAAGGAAGAAAAACCGCATAGCCGTGTCGCAGTACTGCTTACTCAGCCCTTCTTGAAATACAGCAGACACAACTGGTTACGTGCTTTGCTCAGCTATTGTCAGCCGTGGTTCGTGATAAAATCGTCGCAATTAAGTGCTGCTGTTCAGATTATGTGGTTCACTGCGTGCGCTTTTGTGTGAAACAGTAAAAAACAGAGCATTGATTGTAAAGACTTTCCAAGATTTTGTCGCTGAATGTAGTGATCCAACCCCTCCAAAATTCACTGTTGTTTACAGTCTGAAGTCGCTGTTTCAAGAAGACTCTCTTTGCTCAAGCGAACCTGCTTGGGTTTAACAGGATCACGGCAAAGCAGCCGTCAACAGGTACTAAAACTTCGCGATCTTTCTTTGGAATCGCCTTCGCTACCGCTATTTAAACACGAGCAGCTTCCACGAGAATATCTTCCAGTTCATTCCTTTTTGCATAGAGAGTGCTACTAGAAGTATCGTGCGTGGACGCTGGTACGCGACTTTTCCTCAAGGATAGTTTTGCACGCGGAGTATTAATCAGTTGTAAACTTTTTTTTACTTGTATTTAGGTGTGTATGGTTAATTTAGTTTTAGTCTGTTTTTCGTTTGGCGCTAATGTGAAGAATAATATCGACCTGGGTTCCACGTGCAGTTAGGATATGTAACGGCCCTTTTATCTCTCACAGTTACCATATATCTTCGTTTAATGCGTTTTCTCATGAGCGAAACTTTGATCAACTTTAACGTCCGTATTACTGTTTGCCAAATCTGTATATCGACAGATGTACTAAGCCAAACTAAATAAGCTTTCTGCTAAACACGTGCAGCTACATATCGTAATTAATTATATCGAGAGATACACTTTGTTGATAACCTCGCTAAACGTCTATTGAGTCGGTATGGCTGAAGCAATAGATATGTATTTGTAACAGATAATACATGAGCATATAGAGCTCAATGAGTAAATTAAAGGATCGATTTGTTTTTACGTGTTTTTGCACGTTAGATGCAGCTATCAGAATTAACTGGATTGGTCAGTCCATATTTACAGTGATTGTTTTTTCGGAAAATAATTTATTTCTTAGAAATTTACTTCTTAGATTTTAATTAATTAAGGGACAAAGTAAGGGATTTAATTCTTAGAAAAAGATAAATGAATTTAGTCTTCATATCGCAACGTATCAGTATTAAGTTTGAGATCTCTAGTGGGATCTATAGTTAGCAGACTATAATATAGTATAATACATCTCTATAATCAATTATCCATACTTGTGCTGAAAACGTGTATGAAACGTTTTTAGCTGATGCATTGCAGTCGTAGTACAGAGAAACACTTCATTTACGTAAATCTCACATCGCACCGGTCTGTGTTTTTGTTGGTGGATTCGTTTTGTAAATTTTGCAATAAATCTTAGGTGCCATACATTCATGGATAAGGCCTTTAAAATGATTCAGTTCCCTGTTTTCAGAGTGTCTGTTGCAATAACATGCAGATTTCTCGTGATCGGGTGATATACCAAATGGTGATTCTCATTTCCCAATACCGATACACTACAACTTATAAAATCTTTTGAGTTATTGCGCTGCGGGTTGACAATATTGATACCCAAGTTATTATTAAGTTTTTTAATTATAATTGTCGTTGAGGTATAGCATCACGAAATTGACAACTTATTATTATTATTATTCATGTATTTCTCAGCTCATCGAGAGGGTAGGTGGTGATGGTAGTTACAGGATGCGCATGCGACTGGGTTTGTGCGCATGGCATTGGGCAGGAGAGGTGTTATAGTTTCATCCTGCGTTGAAGTTCTCATTGCAAATAGCCTAAAGCGCTAGAAGCGGAATGCTAGTTAGTAGTAGAAGCAATTGATCGATGGTCCCCCGCGAATCGAAGCTGCAGGCAGTCAAAGAGGCAGGATTTTTCGTAATAATAACTACGAACGTAACAAACTGATGGTTGAACGATATATGTACACTGTACATGAATAACACAGATGTATAAGCATTCACGTAACGACACGTGCAGCTACGTGCGTGGAAGCTAAGAAGGCTGCTGGTTTGATAACCAAAAGAAAACTCTTCTTTTTTTTAGACATCAAACTGGTACCTCTCATATGACAGGATTAATTTAATGTCTACATTAAGAGTGCCACTACTAGATCGCAGTCGAGAGGTATTCATAACCTTCATTCATAACTTATAATAACAAAGGCCTTAGAATTGAGCCTAAGAAACGCTTTTTTCATAAGAACGTCTTAGTTTCGTCTAAGCTTTAAGTTATATTCTCCTAACAAAGCCTCGTTAGATAGACACACCTAAAGGAAAAGCAAGTCAGATTATTTCTTATCATAGTTTAACGTTCCGAGATTATAATCTCTCAATCCGGCTTCAAAAATGTAGTTTCTAGTAGTGGACGATATTTGACGACAAGACTATATAAATGCCAAGCTCAGGAATGCCTTGTTTCTGCAAGTCTTTCATTTATAAAGGATATACTTTAGCGAACTGTCTGGTCATACGTACCTTTATGTATGTTGAGGTTACTTGCAATGTGTATTAGGCAAGAACATATGCAATAAGATGACGTTTAGATGGTCAGATAAGTACCTCACCTACCTGGCAACGGATTTTTTTTACTCAGCCGGTGTAAATGACGGGCGCGTAATTTTCGAGGCTTGCGACTTTTGTCTGACACCTACAGTCACATAAGACGTTAATGATTGTATTCTTTTGGGATGTTATTTGTAGAACTACTCCCGCGTCGGTTGAGAGGGTTGATCATCACTTTTAATCACAATGGCTGATAACAGCGAAGGAGATACAAGGCCGCAGGACCAACCACGACAACAAACGCAGCCACGTGGAATTAAAGATATTATTGTAAGTATGTGTAACTTGTGCAGTTGCAGCTTGTCTGCTTCCTATGCAGTGTATTCAAACTTTAGCGGGTGGTATATCGTAGCGCGTACGAATTCATCTACCGGCAATTGAACTAAAAACAAGCTAGTGTTCTGTAGGACTAGACTACAAGCTAATTATGGCTATAAAAAGTGCATCGTTTTCGGAATTTGAACGAAGATTAGCTGCTATCAAAACTCTTTGTTCCCATCGAACACCCAAAGAGATTACAGTACTTTTAGATTCCTTTAACTCGATATTCTGCGACATGTCAGCAGCTGAAGCAGCAGAACGAGGTTCCGTACAAAAAAAACTCTTCTACAGAGGTAAAAACAGCACGGGCTTGGAAACTAATCGGTGCTATCCAAAAAAATCCATCTGTTTCGATCATCACCTTACCAGCGAAGACGTTACATATAAACGGGACTATTATGCTAAGAATTGTTCACGAAGATTTCGGTACATATCACACTTCATGAATGTCAAACACATGCTTTAGAAAGCCCCAAAATCAAGAAACTTGCGAACGCATTACCAAAGAACTAACCTGGATAATCTACTAATGCTTGTACGTGGATAGATAAAATGCTTAGGTCGTACATGTTCCAGCGAAATGGCATCAACCATTACGTCTAGAACTTGCTGCTGCAGAATACGATATGTACTGGAATGAGCACATATGGTCGGCGAAAAGCGTAGAAATGAATCCTTTAAATTATTATGTACACAGCGTTATTAAGCGAGAATCCTACAGGTTCTGACGTAACGTTGAGCCGTCTACTCGTGGTATTGTGAAAGTGTTAGCAGGATTGCAACGTAAACATTTGAACCGAACCTGTGATAGGTTAGATCCCTGGTTAAGGCTGCAGTTTGGTGAATCATGATTATGTGGAATAAGCATTGCCATTAAACTCCTAGCGCATACACAGATAATTGTTCTTACAGTCTTAAAAGGAAAAATTCAAGCTTAGGATCCTGTATAGCTTCGACGTAGTTGAATAGATAAGCAGATATAGACAGGCTCAAAGCACGCTTCGTAGGCTGTAGTCAGTCAAAACTTATAATATTCGATTTTCGTTAAAAATGTTCTCAAATGAATGGTTGCAGGTTGATCTGGTTGAGCAAAAAATGGAGCTTCTTTTATGGTTATCGCGGTTAGCCTGTACCATGTTCACAGTCTCCTATCTACTTGGCGGCCTGGGCGGCAATCCGTACTCACTTTACCAGAAAGCGCTCATTTGCAACGGGGTAACCTCTGCGCTCAGGTTGCATCAGAGGGCACCAACGGTAATTGTTCAAAACCAATTTCTTATCGAGAATCGTAATAATTCCATTGATAATACTTTATGGCCCCGGTCTATACAAGTATGAGTGGAATTTTGGACCATGCATGATTTTATTTCTTAAAAAATTCTGGGCCATGCATGACCTCAGTTCTTAGAAACGAATGCTTTTGTCACCATAATATTCCTATACACAAAAACTCTGCTCGTAAAGAGTGACTATTTGTTTACGATCTAATTTTCATGTTTTTTTCCACCTAATGATTATTTCAAGGTCCGGCTGAACGCGGAGTTTTTAACAACAATTTTAGTCGAGGACTCTTGCCACTACTTGATCTACTCGTTGATTTTTTTGTCCTGTCCTCCAATTTCGATGGTGCTTTTACCACCGATGCTGTTCGCTGTCCTGCATTCAACCTTGTTCTCTTTACAACTGCTCGAGCGCGCCGGTTTGCAGCACTCAAAGGTGAGCACCTGCTTTTTTTTCTTTTTTTTTTCGGGTTATCCATTGCCGCCTATGGAACGAGTAAATTTTCTTTACCTTTGTTTGACATTTTTTGATTGTCTGAAGCTTTCTAGCTCTCGAACACTTCTCACTTAGTAAAAAGTACACTTTGCTCTAGTTTAGCCAGTCATCAGGCTTAATGCATAGAGCGCGTCTCCTCTATAGTTTGGCCATACGTAGCACGGTATAAATGCGGCGACATTCAAATTCAGTAAAGAATAGAATATACTCTATTCACAACCTACCCAAGTGCTGATATTACTTTAATGAAAAAACTAAAAAATAAAAAAGCCAGCTAATTTCTGTACCGTCTGCATAATTCGTTCCAGGTCTCTGAATGTCTACGAATTCTTCTTCAAAGCAACCGAGTAAGGGTAAATAAAGGCAGATATTGTTTACGTTATCGCATCGTTGGATATGATTTTAGCTTATTAGATCTCTACTCCTACAGAAGTTATACAGCTGTTTTGCAAAAAGAGCTTTTACATGTATAAAAAAAAAAACTGAATGCATACACTCTGCAGTAAAAATTGAAAACGGAAGTGGACTTGAAGTGCTTCTTCGTCCCATTTCAGGTGTTCCGACTAATAGCAATGACTGAGATTTTCTTGATGCCAACCGTCATAATTGGACTCTTCTGGTTTGTAAAAATTTCTGTACTATCTAAAATCTAACTTAAATTGTGTAGTGCAAAAATATATACATTACAACTCATAGTAGGAAATTTTTCAGCATCCACTCGTTTGATATCATCGAGATTATAGCACCTTGAAGTTTCATCGGGAACTTACGACTTAAACTCTAATTTCAATTTTGTTGGTTCTGTTAAGGCCAGAATGCAATATCTAGTGAAATAAGCTAGTTAAAAAGCGTTATTCAAATAAAGCATTTATCTGCAGTATCAAGTGCCGCTTTTCGCTCTGCTGCAAAGTCGGGAAAAGCATCATCTTGCTGCCACCATCTAACTTGAACCAAACGGAGTGTACCCATAGACATTTTTAGAACTGGCTTTTGACTGTTACGTCATGATCGTTGACAGTGAAACTTCCTTTTACTATAACAATTATTGTACTAATTTTGAAAATTTTAAGTTATCATAAAGAGGTATGCTGTATGCTAGCATAGTCAAATTGCCATGCTAGTTTCTTTTACGTTCCATTCAACATGATCAATTCTTTTCACCGTTAGATTTATCTGTTCTAACCTTAAAGCTCCTTCTAACGGTTTACTGTTGTTTCTGTTTTAGTGGACGCGTCAGCCTTATGGCACCGTTCATGTACTATCGTTTCTTGAAACTGCGCTATGCGTCGATGCGCAACCCCTACAATCGCAACGTATTCTATGAGCTCAAGTTGCATGCGAATCAGCTGGCCGCTCTTCCCAATTGTCCTATGATCATTCAGAGAGGAATCTACTTTATCGTGCGTTTCATCGAGTCTCGAGCGGGTTAGATATAAAAAATAACATACTGATTCTGTCCGCTCCAGTTATTAGTAAAAGAAAACGAAGATGTTCATAGGAGGTGAAAAATCGAACCTCCTCAGGTGTTTCAATATCACGTCTGCTACATTCAAGATGTGCAAAGCTGCCACCTAAAAAGGTTTGGAAAAAGGGCAGATAGTGGAAAGGTTGGAATGTAGTTGTAAGCACGTTTGAACCACGTCTTATTGCGCCGTTGTGAATGCAGCTCATAAAAATAACGGTTGTTGCCTGCACAGATAAATTACATATATATATATATACATCTGTATATCTGGCTACTAGATTAAAGTACTGAAAACACGGCCCAATAAATAGTTGTTAATGGCCAGGCATGATAGAATACACCTTACACACACACACAGATGTGCTGCGGTCTACTGAAAAACAACTACAATGTAAAGTGGTGGACGAAGTAAAGGAAATAGCCAAGGACAAGAAATAGACAGTTGAAGCACAACGAAATAACCTGTTGTTCGCTTTTTTATAGACGCTGTTTCTGATTATGACAGCCGCTTTAGTTTCCTTTACTACGCTTCTTATACTATAATAGTTATATATAAAAATATGTACGAAAATGAATAAAAGGTTTAATGAATAAATGCTGTGTGGGTGTGTGTGTGTGCTGATTGATTGACTGACTTAACCAGTTTTCACCAGTGAAAAACATACATGGTTACTGTTTTCGTATATAGCATTTATGTTGAAAAAGAGAACTACGATTAAATAATATCTGAAAGCGAGGCGTCTTCATCAACAGAGTGACCTGCGGGAGCGTATTACGGATTTCTCAACTATCGCTGATAATTATGTCAAAAAGTTTTTCTTGATATCTATTATCATTTTCTGCTGCTGCTGCTATTGTTTATTATTACAACCAATTTAGTAGAAATAACGGTGGGCTACGAAAAAATTTTGTCTCGAGCCCAAAAAGTCAATCTGCTTGCGTTTGGTGAAAATTCAAATGCATTGATAAAATTGGAAAATCAGCTCTGTTCGAACATTCCGATATTTAAAAAAAAAAGAAGCGCTTTATATTCAGTCGTGTCAATTTTATTTTTAGGATCCTTGTTGTGTTCCTTCTAAAGATGCTTGCAACGGTTGCTAGTAAGAAATAAATTCACTCAAAATTGGAATTGATTGGTTTTGCAAATCAATCTGTACAGGCAAACTACTAGGTCGTGATGTATTGTAGTTGTCCTGCGGTGAAATAATTGAGATCTTTTTACTTTAATCAATCTCATAAATATCTGTATGTAATTGCAGTTTATATTTAGACTAGATTTTACTTGTATCGAAAGGAAGCAATGAAAACTCTTAGTGATCATACACGCCTCCACTTTGTTCGGCCTCCTTCGAACACGCCAATCAAGTAATGCATCCTCTTTCTATTTGAACAGAGCCTATGATAGGTGCGTATTAAGCTTTCGAAGCACACGCTAAGGGAACAGATATATTGTTGATGTGTTGTGACCCAGTTCATTTAAGGACTTTTCTTGGCAAACAACGTTATAACGCACCGTCAACATCCAAAAGGCTTTGCACTGTGTTTATGTGAGAATGTAACCTTGCGTTTGCATCGAAGGTCGCATGTACGTCTTTGTTTTATGTAAGTATCCTCGTAAGACATGTAATCGATACGCCCCTGGCAAGTTCATTACTTAGTTGTATAATGCAGGGCAACGTTACTGGGTTGGATTAATAGGGGCCGCATACATCAACTACGTATATGAAGACGGCCATAATATTGAGTTTACAGGTAGAAATCGAATAAAGAACATGGAAAATCGTGGTAATTATATGACATGGGGTAAATATGGTAAACTGATGAAAAAATTGAGTACGGAGAAACTAATGACGTCAGGCTTTAGCGGAATCCATTTGGTCTGAAGAGGGCATGTAAGTGGTTACAGGTGTTTGGTGGTTATTGCGTGAGCAAAAGCACAGGAAACTGATCATTCTCTACTATTAGAGTGTAATTGAAAAGGTTAACACCAATGAGCAAAAAGGTAGGAACAACAACGTTTGAAAATGGCTAACCCATGGTATTATCTTTTAATAACAATAATATTATATATTGCTTTTATCATTCTACTACATCCTACTGTGAAGTAGCAGAGTTTGCTTTCAATGTATGGTAATGCCTTTTCTTCTATTTATCATATTGAGCTGTCTAAAATGATCTTCCAGGTGATAAATATGTCTTTCAATCCTGTTATGAGAAAACACGAGATTTTGTTCGTCAACATAGTACACCGACTGTACTGAAGAGTATGCAATCTTCGTTAGTTTGAAAGAAGCGGGTTGCAATCGCTAATACCTAGGCCCAATAGAAGCTGCTATTTGGCTCCCAGCTATGTCCTATCGTCTGCAAAAATCAATATTATTATGCAACCTATGCAGTTCAGCGGCTGTTCCGATGCCTTTTAAGTTAAACACTTTCATACTACAAGTACAGCATGCGTCTAGCTTTCCTAGATACGTTCGCATTTAGTTTTGCATAGTTCGTAAATTTTTTGACATGTTCTATAAGGTAAACAACGAACGACAATTTGAATGTTTTATTGATAAATCTGTTGTACGCGGGAATCGTACATACTTCGGAAGGTGTACTCGCTATGTCTTACTTTGCTTGTCCTCGGTATTATGAAAATTTTAATTGCCTTCAAATATTTTTGAATTTCTACTTCATACTCAGTCATAACCTCGTTTACGTTTCTCAGTTTTATTATCCCGTGTCAGAGCAGTCAAACCTTTTGCTTCTTTGGGGAGGGGAGAGCTGAAACTGTTTTACTGTTTAGGTTTAAACGGTTTCCTTGTGAGAAAAGGTGGCTATATATTGGCACGTGGACTAACATCGTGGTAGGTACGCTTCGCACACAAGCAGGATTATTAGAGAAATATATGACATCATTATTTCGTAAAATATCTATATTCTATGTGCGCCGCCGATTCGACAAAGAAGTATTCATTGAATTCATTCTCATTGTTAGTGAGCTAATAGTTTTGAACGCTTTTTTAATCCTAAAAGCAATCCGTACACGGAATCAATAAAGTCTTCGATAGACGCCTGAGCTTTTTTAACGTGCTTGGAGCGTTTCCAGCAACTGCGACCTACATGATATCGTACAAATAACAATCTTTACCCTATGGAACACCCTATGGTACTAAAGAACCTCAATGTTAAAAAATACGTATAATTGCCCAGAAGATTTGTAGTTACGATCCGAAGGCGTATATAACGGTACTGAGTAGATGAAAACGCCGCTGCTCAATGGTTTGCTTAACATTTTAGAAAATAAAACTTAATACTGCAAAATCTTTCATCTTCTTCTTAATTAAAACAATACCTTTTTAATTAACACTGTTTTAGCAAACAATTTCGATCTTTTCGGTTTCATTAGAGTGCCAATTTAATCTTTTTGCGGCTGAAAGCTTAATGTAAAGGTTATGTAAGGCGCCATCTTGGTCTTATGCTGAGCTTTTGCGAGGTTATGTAACGACACAGGCGTTAAATCAATATGTCCCTCTTACGGGGAGAGCGCGGTTGGTCATATCACTTTCCATAGACGGGCGAACCCATCGTTAAATTCATAGGTGCTTTGTTTTATAGTGGCTGAAACAAGAGAGAATTTACTGAAAAGGCTGGAAGAGCTACAAGTGACAACGATTACCTTGTGTGTGTATCTAGTAGTGCGCTCATGGATAAAAAATAAAAAGGTTAGTTACATAGTAATCATAAAAACAAATTTTAGAAGCCTCGGACACCAACGAGTATTAATATAAAAAACCTGACCGGAGCTTTAATACAAAAGAGTTCATTTTATTTTGACAATTTGTCATTAGGATATGCACGTCGTATAACCTAAATTTCCTAAAAAGCTATATTCAGTCAAATAAAATAGTACGCTTTTGCTTAGTTTGATAGTGATTTGATATGCTGAAGAAGTCTACCTAAACTTTGAGGTAAATAATACTAACTCGCATGCGTGCTTACAGCTATAAACCACTACATTAGCATTCAGTACTGTGGTATTTAATAATGGGTACCTATTTTCTTATTTGATAAGTCACAAGATGCGGTTAGTTGATTAAGTTAGATAAATCTGTATCCGCTGGAAAAGTACAAAAATATTAAACTGCTTTTATTTATTAATTAACTGCTTTTTTACAATCGCTCATATCTGATACTTCGTTCACCTAGATGTGTCGAAAACGCGAGCAAAATATACTGAATTTTTCTGAAAGAATGAAGTGATTGCTTTAGCGACACTAAGCATATTCTTTTATCTGCATTCACCTCAATATAACAATTATACAACATACAACAGTTATGAAGTCAATACATTACATTAATTAATTAATAATTAATAGACATCAAATACATATATTTTATGCCGTAGTGCTGTAAGCAATTTGCCGTATCAGTTCGTTATCAGTAAGAAATGGGTAGGGAGAAATAATGCTATTCTGTACAGCATGTCTACGCGCTTTCTATTTAAAAAAGGGAAGGTTGACTGTTTAATGATAATAATATCAAAAGGTGCAGCAAAGTTTCCGAGTAAACCGCAATAAAGTAGATTCTCATATATTGGATGTCATTATGCGAAACTTATTTTCAGATTACAATGGGTGCCAGCGAACTAGTTGAGGTTAGTGCTGATAACAAGATCAATCGACGAAGGCCCTTAAATGTTTGACTATGTTGCCTAGAATGCTACCCATGGATTTGGTTGAGTGTATATTTTGAGTTAATCAATCATCATTAAAGACATTTCTATTAAAAACACAATATTGACGATTTAAGTAACTCACCTAACACATCATCTTTTGTACAATAACGGTAAGGCATTTTACTTCTCGAAATGAATTATGATTATGTAATTAACTGAGCTTGAACAACATACTTCATCTTCTACAAAGGTGGAGCGTATTTTAGCTCATCGAACAGCTAAAAGTGGAGCTACTTCTTATCTTGTCCTCTGGAAGGGATTTGGGGTAAAGGACTCTAGCTGGGAGCCAGAAGCTCATCTCGAGGATTGCCAACAGGTAGTTTCTGAGTATCTCCGTAATCCCCGGGTAAGTGTACCAATATATTCAAGAGAAACTAATAACATATTATAAAAATAGTGGCTCTCGAGCTAGGTGCGCCAATGTGCCGTGTAATTGAAACACAAGTTGTATCTCGAAACGCTAATTAGGCATCTGTGCTTTTTCTGATGATGGATTCATTAATTAACTTGTAAGCATCTGGCGTACTAATTATTTTTAACGGATAATATACGTCAGAGGACCTGATTTCATTTGCTTGAGATGGGCAATTTGTTTATCTTTTTCATTTTAGTAGTAATCAATGAAAAAAGTCACATTAACTTTACTGCAAAATCTATTATGGATGCCCCTTACCTTGAAATCTAACCGTTTTGTTGCTGCTTGTACATTTCTGTGCATCTTGATCTAGTAGTAACTGTGCTATCTCATACGGCTAGTACTTCCAAAACAATTCCAATAGATCGAAAAAATGTTACAAGTATTTTCATTAAATAAAGGTTTATTCGAGAAATTTACTGCATATGCTGAAATCAACATGAACATAATTCAACGAGATGTGTGTTTACATTTTCAGCCAAATGTGACAAAGGCCCAGATTATACAGGAGGAAAAACAGAAACGCGAAGAGATCCAGAATTTTCCGACAAAACGCCAAGAGTTTCACATTACTTCCACGCGAACGGCAGAGGTAAGTGCAACTTAGCTAATTTAAAGCTGGTTTTTCTATAAGTCTTTTCAGTTCCGAACTCCTGTATCAAGCAGTTGAATACAAATGATAAGATTCGAGTTGTCATTACGTGTAAGTTCGATTTCCTTGCTGGAAATAATTTGGTGGAATGAAATAAATTAATTTAAATTAATTTTCGATAAATTGACACTCGGAAAGACAAGCTAAAAATTTATTATAATTCAGTGAGTAACCTGCATCGTAATCTTTCCAGATGTTCGTGCTGACTGGCGTATTTTTATATAAACATAGCCACTATTAAAAGTTGCGCCATATACTAGCAACGTAGCAAAAAAAAGCATTAATTTGTTAATATCGTATCCTTGCGTGTGTTTCAGTCGATTCACAGACGAGCAACACTCGCTGCATCTGAACCTAATAAGACTTTAGACATATTGGATGCTCCCACCACAAGAAATTCGCCTTTATCACGTAGCCAAGATAAGGAAGAACCTCAATTTGACTGGGTGAGCTTTAGATACCTGTAAATAAACATATCCTTAAGGTACACCATAATGATCGAAGTTTAGGTGTTGTAAGCAAAAAGTGTTTAAAAAACTAGTGCAAACCAAAACAGAATGAATGAGGGTTGGTCTTAGATTTTTCGAATTCACGCTCTGTTGTCAGCAATAACCTGGTGTTTTCTGTCCATGTGCATGTGACGAACATTTCAGCGAGGATTTCTCAAGTTGGGATTCTCAGTAAGCGCGGTGATTATTCTCGTTTTCCTACTATTTAGCGGTAGCGATGATTTCTATTTTCGCAAATTCGTCGAAAGCTCGCAAGTGCCGCCACCGGAAACGCAGCCCTAGGTAATTCCGACTTGGACTCAACCTCACGCACCCATTTTGAATTATTGACCTATTCAGGCTGTTGTAGTGTACAAGGTATGCAAAATTTTTTTTAAGGTTATTGTGTTGACCCTGGTCTCAGTCTTCCGACATCACGAACCGCACATCATTCAAGCTAGCTTATGTTTGGTTCCTTTTTTTCTAATTTAATAACACATTTTTAAGGGTCGACAGATCACACGCGTTGCTTGGGGATTGATACTAAAGTCACCAACGGCACTGTTTAGATCTCGCTGAAGTCACTTACGGTTACTGTAGGCAAGAGCTCGAAGGAAGAGATAATTAATAGGAGAAAAAGTAGCCCATCATGAATTTGAGAGTCACATAAATGTGTCGGCTTTTTATGATCAAATTGTGATACACTAATTACAACTTACTTGAAAGACATAGTACAACTAGGATAGATCAACATAACGGCATATAAACTAACAATTATTATGTCACCTTTATCGTTGTAGCAATATTCCCATATACAGTACAAGGTAACTAACAAAAATCCTGCTGTGTAAATCCTTAAAGAACTATTTGCGCATATTTGTTCGTAGTATATAAAAAATTGTGTTGACAACATTACGTACGATTTAAAGTCAGTCTTTGGTAACATAAACTTAGATTATCGATGCGGATTACTCTTCACTAATATTTCGATATTGCGAGCTCTCGTAACTTTTATGACTATTTTATTGATGACACAGTGTAAACCTGTATCTGCAATAATGTAGATTGTATGACGAGGACCAAAGTGGCCATAAGATTTCTCAAAATAGGCTTTTTTTCTTACAAACAAAGGCTTAATTCTTCTAATCGACGATATCTGTACATACGTATCATAAAAGATGTATATTAGTCGTCTCATGAAGATGTGCATTGTTTGTTGGTATAAATGTTAAAAAAAGGATGATACAGTAAATGCAACGCGCGAAATAAAAACGATTCCCCTGCTTGGGGACATACAGCGATTGAGCCGCGTTGTTTTGATGTGAATTACTGCTTAGGATATGTTGGAACTCGTATTCATGATAGGCGTCAACCAATTTTTAGTCGAATGAAACGTCTCATTGAGCGTTTAAACGTCTAGAGATTTATTTATTTGCAAAAACATAATACCAACTGAGGCCGTAATTACTAATCAGATAACCGAGGCATAAAGTGATTTCTCGAATAGCACGAAATCAGGTTCTTGTCTAATAACATAATCCTATTCATATCAAATTAAAAACAGGTTATTTTTCTAGAAATCCTACTTGACACAAAAACAATTTTTGCAATAAGCCAAAAAGGATAAGATGGAAAGGGTTGTACAAACCCAGTGTACAAACATTGAGCTTGCTCACAGTAACCCTCTATACTGCTACCTTCCGCATTAAGCCTATCCATTTCCTGAGCGCTTGTACCGTGTGATGTATGTCTCAAGTTATCGCTAACGGGATCATGACAGTGAAAAACTACCATTGCCGGGCTTCTACGGGTAATGGTTACGACACAGGAGAAACCCTCAAGAGGTAACGGCAAAAACTGGCCGCTTTTGATCCAAGACCACCGAGAATCCTTGTTATGGTTTTATGACAAGTATATTTACGAAGCTGCCGCAAAAGTTTTTGACACAATAATACCACAGAGATATTCAGCATACGGTGAGTCGGTGATGTATTTGCGTATATGGCAGAAATATTGAGAAAAAAATTTATTCTGGACAATGATACAATTAGTTATTATTATATTATATAATAATGAGTAATAATAACATTTATATAATATTAGCGGTCATCGGAACTATGTTGCAGCATAAACCTATATTTATCATCATTAAATTTTTTCATCACGTCAAGGTCTTTTTACGTATTTAAAGATATTACGGTTCCTTAAAACAACAAAGGAATAGGACGAATAAAGAGACAGAATATACAGCTTTAAATCGTTTTTATTATTCTATGTTTTTAAACAAGATTGTTTTTATATATA